CCCTGTGGTCACATGTGAAGCCCTGTGGTCACATGTCAGAAGCCCTGTGGTCACATGAGAAGCCCTGTGGTCACATGTGAAGCCCTGTGGTCACATGAGAGAAGCCCTGTGGTCACATGAGAGAAGCCCTCTGGTCGTGGTCACATAAGAGAAGCCCTGTGGTCACATGTGAAGCCCTGTGGTCACATGTGAAGCCCTGTGGTCACATGAGAGAAGCCCTGTGGTCACATGAGAGAAGCCCTGTGGTCACATGTGAAGCCCTGTGGTCACATGAGAGAAGCCCTGTGGTCACATGTGAAGCCCTGTGGTCACATGAGAGAAGCCCTGTGGTCACATGTGAAGCCCTGTGGTCACATGAGAAGCCCTGTGGTCACATGTGAAGCCCTGTGGTCACATGAGAGAAGCCCTGTGGTCACATGTGAAGCCCTGTGGTCACATGAGAGAAGCCCTGTGGTCACATGTGAAGCCCTGTGATCACATGAGAGAAGCCCTGTGGTCACATGAGAGAAGCCCTGTGGTCACATGAGAGAAGCCCTGTGGTCACATGTGAGAAGCCCTGTGGTCACATGAGAAGCCCTGTGGTCACATGTGAAGCCCTGTGGTCACATGTGAAGCCCTGTGGTCACATGAGAGAAGCCCTGTGGTCACATGTGAAGCCCTGTGGTCACATGAGAGAAGCCCTGTGGTCACATGTGAGTGGGGACAGTGGCTCAGTTGGTCTTTGAACTTAATGGTCGTGGGTTCGATCCATGGATCTATAATAATAAGAGTATTACTAGCTTAAAGCTGTCCCACCCATGGCCACAGGGGGCGCTGTGGTACTGCAGACTAAATTAATGTGGACTACCCAGAGAAAAGTCCCATAGAACTCAATATAAATTAAAACAGTTCAACCTCAGCTGACAGAGAACCTGACAGAGAACCTGACAGAGAACCTGACAAAGAACCTACAGTAGGTGATGTAAGTAATGTTAATGTAATGTGGTCTCTCCCTATGGACCAATACCATGTGGTCTCTCCCTATGGTCCAATACCATGTGGTCGCTCCCTATAGTCCAACACCATGTGGTCTCTCCCTAGGGACCAATACCATGTGGTCTCTCTATGGACCAATACCATGTGGTCTCTCTATGGACCAATACCATGTGGTCTCTCTATGGACCAATACCATGTGGTCTCTGCCTATGGACCAATACCATGTGGTCTCTCTATGGACCAATACCATGTGGTCTCTGCCTATGGACCAATACCATGTGGTCTCTCTATGGACCAATACCATGTGGTCTCTGCCTATGGACCAATACCATGTGGTCTCTGCCTATGTACCAATACCATGTGGTCTCTCTATGGACCAATACCATGTGGTCTCTCTATGGACCAATGGCTTCTATGTGTTTTAGATACATAGATTGGTAGGTAATTAATTGTTTGGGTCTGCTTGGTTCGACCATTGTCTCTGCTCTGGTTCAGAGTGAAATTCTGAATGCAAATACAGAATACAAGAAACGTCATGAAAGGAGAAACAGAGAGTGAGAGTGTTTTATTGACCGAACATCCATAACGGGGAGAGTGCAAATCCACCACTTTGTAAAGTCCTCTCGAGGCGACTGCTGTTGATTCAGCGCTCTGCTCACAGGGACCAGGTGGGAGGTCTGAGGAGACTTCTGGTGACCCTTGTTTTTAAACCGAGCTCTCAGAATAATCACTGACTCTTCTGGTTCCTGGAAAAGCCATGTTCCAGCTTCTTCCCTCTGGCAGAAGATATCGTTTTGCTAACATGCTAACGGCTTCTTTTATTTCTGTATTTTTAACCTTGTTCTATGTATGTACTTGTCTGATGCACTTTGGGGACTTTTGCTTGAGTATTCCAATGTGGTTTTACTGCAAGTGGTGAAAATATATCCTCTGCGCTGTGATTGGCTGATGTCGTGCACAGTGTTTCAGGTCAGTCTGGTCACACCTCGTCCTCATCCCGCTCCCGATGATGTTCTCTCTTTTACCTGCAGGTGGCGCCATTGTACTCTGTGGGTTTGTGTCTGAAGTTCCTGATTCTGGAGCAGAGCAAAAAAACAGAACAGAGCAGTCGATGACGTCACTGTTGATGCTCAGTTGGTGATTAGAAAAACAGATGTGTGTGATGTCACATGCAGTTAAAGGATCAGAGACCAGAGAGAGACCAGAGAGAGACCAGAGAGAGAGAACAGAGAGAGAGACCAGAGAGAGACCAGAGAGAGAGACCAGAGAGAGAGAACAGAGAGAGAGACCAGAGAGAGACCAGAGAGAGAGACCAGAGAGAGACCAGAGAGAGAGACCAGAGAGAGAGACCAGAGAGAGACCAGAGAGAGAGGGACCAGAGAGAGACCAGAGAGAGACCAGAGAGAGAGACCAGAGAGAGACCAGAGAGAGAGACCAGAGAGAGACCAGAGAGAGAGACCAGAGAGAGACCAGAGAGAGACCAGAGAGAGAGACCAGAGAGAGACCAGAGAGAGAGACCAAAGAGAGAGACCAGAGAGAGACCAGAGAGAGAGACCAGAGAGAGAGACCAGAGAGAGACCAGAGAGAGACCAGAGAGAGAGACCAGAGAGAGAGACAGAGAGAGACCAGAGAGAGACCAGAGAGAGACCAGAGAGAGAGAACAGAGAGAGAGACCAGAGAGAGACCAGAGAGAGAGACCAGAGAGAGACCAGAGAGAGAGACCAGAGAGAGAGACCAGAGAGAGACCAGAGAGAGAGGGACCAGAGAGAGACCAGAGAGAGACCAGAGAGAGAGACCAGAGAGAGACCAGAGAGAGAGACCAGAGAGAGACCAGAGAGAGAGACCAGAGAGAGACCAGAGAGAGACCAGAGAGAGAGACCAGAGAGAGACCAGAGAGAGAGACCAAAGAGAGAGACCAGAGAGAGACCAGAGAGAGAGACCAGAGAGAGAGACCAGAGAGAAGACCAGAGAGAGACCAGAGAGAGAGACCAGAGAGAGAACAGAGAGAGACCAGAGAGAGAGACCAGAGAGAGAGACCAGAGAGAGAGACCAGAGAGAGACCAGAGAGAGACCAGAGAGAGACCAGAGAGAGACCAGAGCGAGATCAGAGAGAGAGACCAGAGAGAGACCAGAGAGAGACCAGAGAGAGAGGGACCAGAGAGAGACCAGAGAGAGACCAGAGAGAGAGACCAGAGAGAGACCAGAGAGAGAGACCAGAGAGAGACCAGAGAAAGACCAGTGAGAGAGACCAGAGAGAGAGACCAGAGAGAGACCAGAGAGAGACCAGAGAGAGACCAGAGAGAGAGACCAGAGAGAGACCAGAGAGAGAGACCAGAGAGAGACCAGAGAGAGACCAGAGAGAGACCAGAGAGAGAGACCAAGAGAGAGAGAGGCAGAGAGAGACCAGAGAGAGACCAGAGGGAGAGACCAGAGAGAGACCAGAGAGAGAGACCAGAGAGAGAGACCAGAGAGAGACCAGAGAGAGACCAGAGAGAGACCAGAGAGAGACCAGAGAGAGACCAGAGAGAGAGACCAGAGAGAGACCAGAGAGAGAGACCAGAGAGAGAGACCAGAGAGAGACCAGAGAGAGACCAGAGAGAGACCAGAGAGAGACCAGAGAGAGACCAGAGAGAGAGGGACCAGAGAGAGACCAGAGAGAGACCAGAGAGAGAGACCAGAGAGAGACCAGAGAGAGACCAGAGCGAGATCAGAGAGAGAGACCAGAGAGAGACCAGAGAGAGACCAGAGAGAGACCAGAGAGAGACTAGAGAGAGACCAGAGAGAGAGGGACCAGAGAGAGACCAGAGAGAGAGACCAGAGAGAGACCAGAGAGAGAGACCAGAGAGAGACCAGAGAGAGACCAGTGAGAGAGACCAGAGAGAGAGACCAGAGAGAGACCAGAGAGAGACCAGAGAGAGAGACCAGAGAGAGGTCCAGAGAGAGAGACCAGAGAGAGAGACCAGAGAGAGAGACCAGAGAGAGACCAGGGAGAGAGACCAGAGAGAGAGAGACCAGAGAGAGAGACCAGAGAGAGAGACCAGAGAGAGAGACCAGAGAGAGAGAACAGAGAGAGACCAGAGAGAGAGACCAGAGAGAGACCAGAGAGAGAGAGAGAGAGACCAGAGACAGACCAGAGAGAGAGACCAGAGAGAGACCAGAGAGAGACCAGAGAGAGAGACCAGAGAGAGAACAGAGAGAGACCAGAGAGAGAGACCAGAGAGAGACCAGAGAGAGAACAGAGAGAGACCAGAGAGAGAGACCAGAGAGAGAGACCAGAGAGAGAGACCAGAGAGAGAGACCAGAGAGAGACCAGAGAGAGAACAGAGAGAGACCAGAGAGAGACCAGAGAGAGAGACCAGAGAGAGAGACCAGAGAGAGACCAGAGAGAGACCAGAGAGAGAGACCAGAGAGAGACCAGAGAGAGAGACCAGAGAGAGACCAGAGAGAGACCAGAGAGAGACCAGAGAGAGAACAGAGAGAGAGACCAGAGAGAGACCAGAGAGAGACCAGAGAGAGACCAGAGAGAGACCAGAAAGAGACCAGAGAGGGACTAGAGGGAGACCAGAGAGAGAGACCAGAGAGAGAGACCAGAGAGAGACCAGAGAGAGACCAGAGAGAGAGAGACCAGAGAGAGACCAGAGAGAGACCAGAGAGAGAGACCAGAGAGAGAGACCAGAGAGAGAGAGAGACCAGAGAGAGACCAGAGAGAGACCAGAGAGAGACCAGAGAGAGAGACCAGAGAGAGAGACCAGAGAGAGACCAGAGAGAGACCAGAGAGAGACCAGAGAGAGAGACCAGAGAGAGAGACCAGAGAGAGAGACCAGAGAGAGACCAGAGAGAGACCAGAGAGAGACCAGAGAGAGACCAGAAAGAGACCAGAGAGGGACTAGAGGGAGACCAGAGAGAGAGACCAGAGAGATGTTATGGTGAGTCTGTGATGTCACGTTTCCAGGTGAAGCTGAATCTTTGCGCCGCACTGTGTCTTTATTTAATGATTTATAGTTTGTATCAATCATAGATAATAGATGATGCTGCTGCAGTGCGGGATTCCCCTGAAGCCAGAGGACGAGAGAGAGGACGAGAGAGAGGACGAGAGAGAGGAGGAGAGAGAGGAGGAGAGAGAGGAGGAGAGAGAGGACGAGTGAGAGGACGAGAGAGAGGATGAGAGAGAGGACGAGAGAGAGGAGGAGAGAGAGGAGGAGAGAGAGGACGAGTGAGAGGACGAGAGAGAGGATGAGAGAGAGAACGAGAGAGAGGATGAGAGCGAGGACGAGCGAGAGGACGAGAGAGAGGATGAGAGAGGACCAGAGAGAGGACCAGAGAGAGGACGGGAGAGAGGATGAGAGAGACCACGAGAGAGAGGACGAGAGAGAGGACCAGAGAGAGAGGACGAGAGAGGACCAGAGAGAGAGGACGAGAGAGACCACGAGAGAGAGGACCAGAGAGACCACGAGAGAGAGGACGAGGGAGAGGACGAGGGAGAGGACGAGAGAGAGAGGATGAGAGAGAGGACGAGAGAGACCACGAGAGAGAGGACGAGAGAGAGGACGAGAGAGAGGACGAGAGAGAGGACGAGAGAGAGGATGAGAGAGAGGATGAGAGAGAGGACGAGAGAGAGGAGGAGAGAGAGAGACGAGTGAGAGGACGAGAGAGAGGATGAGAGAGAGGACGAGAGAGGGAGAGAGAGAGGAGAGAGAGAGGACGAGTGAGAGAGACGAGAGAGAGATGAGAGAGAGACGAGAGAGAGAGAGAGAGACGAGAGGAGGACGAGCGAGAGGACGAGAGAGAGGATGAGAGAGGACCAGAGAGAGGACCAGAGAGAGGACGGGAGAGAGGATGAGAGAGAGAGAGAGAGAGAGAGAGAGAGAGAGGAGGAGAGAGAGGACGAGTGAGAGGACGAGAGAGAGGATGAGAGAGAGAGACGAGAGAGAGGAGGAGAGAGAGGAGGAGAGAGAGGACGAGTGAGAGGACGAGAGAGAGAGATGAGAGAGAGAACGAGAGAGAGGATGAGAGCGAGGACGAGCGAGAGGACGAGAGAGAGGATGAGAGAGGACCAGAGAGAGGACCAGAGAGAGGACCAGAGAGAGGATGAGAGAGAGGAGGAGAGAGAGGAGGAGAGAGAGGAGGACGAGTGAGAGGACGAGAGAGAGGACGAGAGAGAGGAGAGAGAGAGAGGACGAGTGAGAGGACGAGAGAGAGGAGGAGAGAGAGGAGGAGAGAGAGGAGGAGAGAGAGGACGAGTGAGAGGACGAGAGAGAGGATGAGAGAGAGGACGAGAGAGAGGAGGAGAGAGAGGAGGAGAGAGAGGACGAGTGAGAGGACGAGAGAGAGGATGAGAGAGAGAACGAGAGAGAGGATGAGAGCGAGGACGAGCGAGAGGACGATAGAGAGGATGAGAGAGGACCAGAGAGAGGACCAGAGAGAGGACCAGAGAGAGGACGGGAGAGAGGATGAGAGAGACCACAAGAGAGAGGACGAGAGAGACGACCAGAGAGAGAGGACGAGAGAGGACCAGAGAGAGAGGACGAGAGAGACCACAGAGAGAGGACCAGAGAGACCACGAGAGAGAGGACGAGGGAGAGGACGAGAGAGAGAGGATGAGAGAGAGGACGAGAGAGACCACAAGAGAGAGGACGAGAGAGAGGACGAGAGAGAGGACGAGAGAGAGGATGAGAGAGAGGACGAGAGAGATGACGAGAGAGAGGATGAGAGAGGACCAGAGAGAGGACCAGAGAGAGGACCAGAGAGAGGACGAGAGAGACCACGAGAGAGAGGACCAGAGAGAGGACCAGAGAGAGAGGACGAGAGAGACCACGAGAGAGAGGACCAGAGAGACCACGAGAGAGAGGACGAGAGAGAGACCACGAGACAGAGGACGAGAGTGACTCTACCGTGGATCTGTCGGAGGGAAACTGGTACGAAGAGCTGCTACCACGGCAACGAGTCTTCAGCCCAACTTTTCCTAAAGCTATGTTCCCAAAAGATGCTAAATGAGGCTGGTTACACAGTGTCATCATCATCATCATCATCAATATGGACATCGACATCATCATCAATATGGACATCATCATCATCCTCATCATCATCATCATCATCATCATCACCATCCTCCTCATCATCCTCATCATCATCATCATCCTCATCATCCTCATCCTCATCATCCTCATCCTCATCATCATCCTCATCATCATCATCATCCTCCTCATCCTCATCATCATCATCATCATCATCATCTTAATATGGGCATAACAATAACATTGGACGAACCAGATGCATTGCTGTAAGTGTTAAAGCACAGGTGCTAATTTTCAACACTAGTCCACAGGGGCTTTTACATCACAGAAGATAAAAGACATTTAAAAGAGTTACGACACAGTTTACACATGAGAACAGGTCTGTCTGGATCAGAACCACTGTCTGAGCTCTGCTGAAGATGGTCCTGTTAGTCTGTAGTTTCAGTCCGGTGGGAGACAGTTCCACAGTTTAACCCTAGAGGAGAAGCTGGATTGTCCAAACGATGTTCTGAGCTTTGGGAGCACACAGGCCGCACTGACGGAGCCTCTGACTGAGGCTCTGACTGAGGCTCTGACTGAGGCTCTGACTGAGGCTCTGACTGAGGCTCTGACTGAGGCTCTGACTGAGGCTCTGACTGAGGCTCTGACTGAGGCTCTGGCTGAGGCTCTGACTGAGGCTCTGGTGGAGGCTCTGACTGAGGCTCTGACTGAGGCTCTGACTGAGGCTCTGACTGAGGCTCTGACTGAGGTCTGTGAGCTCTGACTGAGGCTCTGCTGACTGAGCTTGACTGACTGAGGCTCTGAGGCTGAGGAGCTCTGCGAGCTGGAGGCTCTGACTCTGACTGCTGGCCTGACTGAGCTCTGACTGAGGCTCTGACTGAGGCTCTGACCTGAGCTGAGCTCTGAGAGCTGCTGACTGAGGCTCTGACTGAGGCTCTGACCGAGGCTCTGACTGAGGCTCTGACTGAGGCTCTGGCTGAGGCTCTGACTGAGGCTCTGACTGAGGCTCTGACTGAGGCTCTGACTGAGGCTCTGACCGAGGCTCTGACTGAGGCTCTGACTGAGGCTCTGACTGAGGCTCTGACCGAGGCTCTGACTGAGGCTCTGACTGAGGCTCTGACTGAGGCTCTGGTGGAGGCTCTGACTGAGGCTCTGACCGAGGCTCTGACTGAGGCTCTGACTGAGGCTCTGACTGAAGCTCTGACTGAGGCTCTGACTGAGGCTCTGGCTGAGGCTCTGACTGAGGCTCTGACTGAGGCTCTGACTGAGGCTCTGATGGCCTGGAGGCTCTGACTGAGGCTGAGAGGCTCTGACTGAGGCTTGACTCTGACTGAGGCTCTGACTGAGGCTCTGAGCTGAGAGGCTCTGACTGAGCTCTGGGCTCTGACTCGAGGCTCTGACTGAGGCTCTGGTGGAGGCTCTGACTGAGGCTCTGACTGAGGCTCTGGTGGAGGCTCTGACTGAGGCTCTGACTGAGGCTCTGACTGAGGCTCTGACTGAGGCTCTGGTGGAGGCTCTGACTGAGGCTCTGACTGAGGCTCTGACTGAGGCTCTGGCTGAGGCTCTGACTGAGGCTCTGGTGGAGGCTCTGACTGAGGCTCTGGTGGAGGCTCTGGTGGAGGCTCTGACTGAGGCTCTGGTGGAGGCTCTGACTGAGGCTCTGACTGAGGCTCTGGCTGAGGCTCTGGCTGAGGCTCTGACTGAGGCTCTGGTGGAGGCTCTGACTGAGGCTCTGGTGGAGGTTCTGGTGGAGGCTCTGACTGAGGCTCTGGTGGAGGCTCTGACTGAGGCTCTGGTGGAGGCTCTGACTGAGGCTCTGACTGAGGCTCTGACTGAGGCTCTGGCTGAGGCTCTGACTGAGGCTCTGACTGAGGCTCTGGTGGAGGCTCTGACTGAGGCTCTGACTGAGGCTCTGGTGGAGGCTCTGACTGAGGCTCTGACTGAGGCTCTGGCTGAGGCTCTGACTGAGGCTCTGGTGGAGGCTCTGGTGGAGGCTCTGACTGAGGCTCTGACTGAGGCTCTGGTGGAGGCTCTGACTGAGGCTCTGACTGAGGCTCTGGCTGAGGCTCTGACTGAGGCTCTGGTGGAGGCTCTGGCTGAGGCTCTGACTGAGGCTCTGACTGAGGCTCTGACTGAGGCTCTGACTGAGGCTCTGACTGAGGCTCTGACTGAGGCTCTGACTGAGGCTCTGGCTGAGGCTCTGACTGAGACTCTGACTGAAGCTCTGGTGGAGGCTCTGGCTGAGGCTCTTGACTGAGGCTCTGACTGAGGCTCTGGTGGAGGCTCTAACTGAGGCTCTGATGGAGGCTCTGATGGAGGCTCTGGTGGAGGCTCTGACGGAGGCTCTGACTGAGGCTCTGAGAGCAGACTGACGTTTCAGCTTGAGCCCAGAGAGCAGAGGTGACACACAGTTGTTCACACATTTAAAAGCCAATTTTAAGATGGAGAAATTTACAAAGTTATTGAAAGTAAAAAGTTTGTGCTTCTGCATGATATCACAATGATTAAATGACTTATTATTATTATCATTATCATTATTATTATCATGATTTTTATTTTTATTATCATTATTATTATTATTATCATTATTATTATTTTTATTATCATCATCATTATTATTATTATTATCATGATTATTATTATCATTATCATTATTATTATCATTATTATTATTATTATTATCATCATCATTATTATTATTATTATTATTATTGGGGGCGACAGTAGCTCAGTTGGTAGAGCATTGGCCTTTGGGCCTGGAGGTCGTGAGTTCGATTCCCACCATGGGACCTACTCCAACTGCTCCCACTAATGACTCCTGTCGTTGTGTCCTTGGGCAAGACACTTAACCCCATGTTGCCTGAAGCCCCCCGCTGAAAGATCAAGGCGGTTTCTCAACTGACGGAGCAGCCATCTGCTCACCCCCTGCAGAAGATCAGCGAGGGACTGGTGCTATGAGCGTTGGGTGGCAGCTCTCATTGCCACCCCCCCCCCGACCCAGAAATTGACAAATAAAGGGGTTGAAAATGAAATTATTATCATTATTATTTTTATTATTATTATCATTATCATCATCATTATCATTATTACTATTATTATTATTATTATTATTATTATCATTATTATTATCATCATCATTATCATGATGATTATTATTATTATTATCATTATCATTATCATCATCATTATCATTATTATTATTATTATCATCATTATTATTATTATTATTATTATTATTATTATTATCATTATCATTATCATGATTATTATTACTATTATTATCATCATTATTATTATCATTATTATTATTATTAATATTGTTATTATTATCATACACATTAGGAAACACACTGAATTAAAGCAGATATATTAATATTCATGATGTAAGTTTCTATAGACTTCTTGTTAAATGTCACAGTGTAATTATCCACTTCAACCACTAGATGGGGACACTCTCCTCTCAGTGGTATAAATGACAAAATGTGCAGATAAAACGTGCGAGTCACTGTGTAACAACAGTCTGAGAGCTGAGAGCTGATTGGCTGAGTGAGGGTAGTCCAGCCTTCTTCACTTTTTGAAAGAAAGAGAGTAGAGCGATACCAGGGAGAGGGACCAGGTAGAGACCTGAGAGGGACCAGAGAGAGGGACCAAGGAGAGAGACCAGAGAGAGGGACCAGGGAGAGACCTGAGAGGGACCGGAGAGAGACCAGACAGAGGGACCAGGGAGAGACCTGAGAGGGACCAGAGAGAGACCAGAGAAAGGGACCAGAGAGAGACCAGAGAGACCAGAGAGAGACGGTAAGGCTAGACCAGAGAGAGAGAGACCAGAGAGAGACCAGAGTGAGAGCAGAGGGAGAGCAGAGAGAGAGCAGAGAGAGACCATGGAAAGACCAGAGAAAGACCAGAGAAAGACCAGAGAGAGACCAGAGAGAGACCAGAGAGAGACCAGAGAGAGCCCAGAGTGAGGCCAGAGAGAGAGGCCAGAGAGAGACCAGAGAGAGCCCAGAGAGCGAGACCAGAGCGAGACCAGAGAGAGACCAGAGAGAGCCCAGAGAGCGAGACCAGAGCGAGACCAGAGAGAGACCAGAGAGAGACCAGAGAGAGACCAGAGAGAGGCCGGAGAGAGACCAGAGAGAGGCCGGAGAGAGACCATGGAAAGACCAAAGAAAAACCAGAGAGAGGCCGGAGAGCGCCTTCAGCACCATGGCCCCACGTCACCAGCTCCTCCTCGGTCTCCTCGGCCTCCTCGGTCTCCTCGTTCTCCTCGGTCTCCTCGGTCTCCTCGTTCTCAGTCAGAGACACTCAGTTCCACTCGGCTGCTCCTATACCGCTCTGGACACGCACACGGCTGAAGGCTCCTTTCACCACAGCTATCTTTGGAAGCACTTACAGCTCCATAGAAAGACACGCTTATTCTGAATCTTTGTATGTATGCGGCCTTTACATCTGTTTACATAATGGCTCCTCTGCAACGACAGGCTTATTTGTATAGCACACCAGCAGGCCTGAGTGCGTCACAAGCACCAGAGAAAGAGGAAAGAAATCAGAATTAATTACACATAAAGCAAGAAAAATGTTAAATAGTATGTTTGTGTAAGTTCTCAGTCGTACAGGGATTAGTCAAAGCAAAGGGAGGTTTCTCACCCTCATCGGTACTTCTTAAAATAGTAAGAGTAAGATGTGTGTTCCGACTAGATTGTAAAAAGGAGAGAGCAGAGAGAGAGCAGAGAGAGGCCAGAGAGAGACCAGAGAGAGACCAGAGAGAGACCAGAGAGAGACCAGAGAGAGACCAGAGAGAGACCAGAGAGAGACCAGAGAGAGAGACCAGAGAGAGACCAGAGAGAGAGACCAGAGAGAGAGACCAGAGAGAGAGACCAGAGAGAGACCAGAGAGATGCCAGAGAGAGACCAGAGAGAGACCAGAGAGAGACCAGAGAGAGACCTGAGAGAGACCTGAGAGAGACCAGAGAGAGACCAGAGAGAGAGAGACCAGAGAGAGAGACCAGAGAGAGACCAGAGAGAGCAACCAGAGAGAGACACGAGAAATACCAGAGAGAGGCCAGAGAGAGACCAAAGAGAGACCAGAGTGAGAGCAGAGAGAGAGACCAGAGAGAGACCAGAGAGAGAGCAGAGAGAGACCAGAGAGAGACCAGAGAGAGACCAGAGTGAGACAAGAGAGATGCCAGAGAGAGACCAGAGAGAGACCAGAGAGAGACACGAGAAATACCAGAGAGAGACCAAAGAGAGACCAGAGAGAGACCAGAGAGAGACCAGAGAGAGACCAGAGAGAGAGACCAGAGAGAGACCAGAGAGAGACCAGAGAGAGACCAGAGAGAGACCAGAGAGAGACCAGAGAGACCAGAGAGAGACCAGAGACCAGAGAGAGACCAGAGACCAGAGAGAGACCAGAGACCAGAGAGAGAGACCAGTGGTGTCTCCTGGTCTCCTGCTGCTCTCTAGGGACCAGAGTGGCACTAATCTCGCCTCTGGCTCAGTGAGTGCGGAGGCCGAGAAGCAGCGAGATTGGCAGAGACTTCACAAAGCTCCCGCTAAGAACACATGTTAGATTAACGACCACAGAGTGACGGCGTGTATGGTGCAATGTTCAGGCTTTTCCAGAACATTCCGGACGCACAGGGCACCTCCTACTGCGGGTGGCGTCGGAAGAACGGCAGCGGGCTAGCCTAGCATTAGCCATGTGTAAACTCTGGTCCATGATCATTTCCTACATGTACGTCTGGTCTTACCATGTGTAAACTCTGGTCCATGATCATTTCCTACATGTACGTCTGGTCTTACCATGTGTAAACTCTGGTCCATGATCATTTCCTACATGTACGTCTGGTCTTACCATGTGTAAACTCTGGTCCATGATCATTTCCTACATGTACGTCTGGTCTTACCATGTGTAAACTCTGGTCCATGATCATTTCCTACATGTACGTCTGGTCTTACCATGTGTAAACTCCGGTCCATGGTCATTTCCTACATGTACGTCTGGTCTTACCATGTGCAAACTCTGGTCCATGGTCATTTCCTACATGTACGTCTGGTCTTACCATGTGTAAACTCTGGTCCATGATCATTTCCTACATGTACGTCTGGTCTTACCATGTGCAAACTCTGGTCCATGGTCATTTCCTACATGTACGTCTGGTCTTACCATGTGTAAACTCTGGTCCATGATCATTTCCTACATGTACGTCTGGTCTTACCATGTGTAAACTCTGGTCCATGATCATTTCCTACATGTACGTCTGGGTCTGATCCTAGTGGCTGCAGTTTCCTCGGTTGAATCCGACCAATCAGAGAGCGGGGGAGGCGGGTGTTGTAGGTCGGTGTCGGTGACGTCAAGAGTTTGTGCTGAATTTTCTGGTTGTAGTTTGTCGGAGAATGTGATAGTAAAATAATCTGTTCTGGTTCAATCCAAATATCAAGAAACTGAAGCCGGAGCAAGAGGAATGTTTAGTAAATGTCATTGAAGCAAAGATGTTGTGGCTCTACTCCCCACTGGCTCCGTTAGCGGCAAAGGAGATGGCTAAAGCTAGGCTACATGCTAAAGCTAGGCTACATGCTAAAGCTTGGCTACATGATGAAGCTAGGCTCTCTGGTCTCTCCTAAGAGCATGCTGTTCCTGGTCTAGGACTGCCTCGAAAAAGAGGTTTCTTAATCTCAATGTGACTTTAGTGGTTAAATAGATAAATATATTAACTGATGTAAAAGATGGTCCTTTCTTATCCTTCCCTCCTCTTTCGAGCTCTAAACAGCTCCATGTGAGAGAGACCAGAAAGACCAGAAAGACCAGAAAGACCAGAGGGAGAGACCAGAGAGAGAGTGGACGGCACGGTGGCTGAGTGGATAGCACTCTCACCTCTCAGCAAGAAGGTCCTGGGTTCAAATCCTGGTCGGACCAGGGCCTTTCTGAGTGGAGTTTGCATGTTCTCCCCTTGTCTGCATAGGTTTCCTCCGGGTACTCCGGTTTCCCCTTCCACAAAAAACATGTACAATAGTTCTGGCATGTGCCTCCTGTACTGGCGACCCCGCTCCCATCTCTGTGTGGAGTGAGAGACAAATGCCCAAAAATAACAACAATTGTTTTGATTGATTGATTGTTATTTATTTGAGCATTTTACAAACATATTTTTCATTGTTACAAGGTTACACTGTTATAAAGTGGCTCAAAAGGAGTAGGCTGAAGCAAGAAAGCTTATTAGTGCCCACCCCCTGTTCCAAGTGATCACTTTAAGCTGCAGACAATAACCGTGAACACAGGCATCATACAGTTTACATACAATAAACACGGGTTCCTGAGTTACCCAGACACACGCACATCAGAGGGTGCATGGGCCTGTTTACTTACAAGCAATTAGTGAATGATCATTTCCATACATAGACACACCCAAGGCTCTGTGGACGTGCTCATCCATGATCACAATCAATTCTACGATTACAGTTGTCCACATTAACCAAACACACGTCAGCATTGATCAGAAAAGCATTCATGATTATACAATATATCACAAGTTTTTCACACGACTTCCAAGGTAAAAGAATCATTATTATTATTTATGTGGGTTTATATATTCATATTTCATTATTATTTGCATAATAATGAAATATGAATTATTATTATTTCATTATTATTTGCATTACATTATTATTTGCATTACATTTGTCATAATTTTTCTTTGTCAACAATACATAATCATGATTATAAGTCCCTTACCATCATTCCCATTTTAGAATCACATCATTTATTTGCACTACACATTTTTGTAGAATGTCCTCTTGCCGTCATTCTCGATTCACTATAAAATATTGGTTGTGACTGTAGGATTACTTTTTGTTGTTTGCCTTTTTAAGTGAGATGCATTAAAAGCAAGGGCGTGACGTGGCCAGTTGGCTGAGGCCAGAGACCCCCGATCAGCCACACCCTGCTGCCCTAACTATGTACTGTGTAAGGTTTTATGTCCTGTGCCGGGCAGTGCTTTGAATTTGAGGTGACACTGGTTCTTTCGGCAATGATGTGGTTAATCAGATTCACAATAATACTTAACAGATTACATGTCTTAGGCATATTTCTCAAACACACTTCTCTTGTATAGTTTTTTGAATAGCTGTAAACAAGCAACATCTTTTAAGGGTTCCTCTAGATTATTCCACAAATGTACACCTCTCCGGGTAATACAGAAGCTTTTTAAGGAAGAGTGAACACTTTGAACTTTGAGGTTATGAGTGCCTCTGAGGTCATATCTTACATCTCTTTTACCAAACATTTGTTGTATATTGCTCGGGAGCTGGTTATTTACAGCTTTATATACCTGTAACAAAGTATTATATTTTATAAGATCATCAAATTTCATTGTGTTTGATTTTAAGGCTATATCCACACGAAGACAAAACGCTTATAATTTCAGAAACTTTTTCTGTAAACACGGAGTTAGCTCAGTAAATGTGTGCGTCCATATGAATGTAGTCAATACGCCTGAAAACGCTGTGAAACTATGCCAGACCTGTTGGTGGCGCTGTGACGCAATGACGGGATCAAGCCCAAACTTCCGTGACGGGAACTGGGCATGCGCAGAATGTTGTAAACAGACAACATGGCGAGTGGGCGAGCTGGTACTACATTAGTATGGACGGACGATGAGGTTGAACTGTTGCTTCGGGTCACACTGGATTACAAAACCAACAAGCTACATTGTTGTTGTCATTATTTTCTGAGTGCGGCGCATGCGTGCTTTAACAAGAGGCGGGGCGATGACGCAAGCGTCTCAGATACATTGCGGAGAGGCAGTAACCACGGAGCGGCATATACGGAGTTTTGAAATCTTTCCACTCTGGGACCTACTTTCAAAAATGTTCGTTTACACCCCCCCAAAACGCCGGCCTCGTATGGACGATACACTGGATTGATAAAGTATTTTTGCGTTTAGGCCTGAGCTTGACTTCGTGTGGACAGGGCCTAAAAACAGGTATAAGTGAATATCTTTTCAATATGCTCAATAAAACCTTCAATATCTGCACCTGGTGCACGGTAGATACAAGAGACTAATACATTTTTCCTGTAAACCGCTTTGAGACTCTGGTCTGTGAAAGGCGGTATATAAATAAACATTACTTACTTATATGAATAAACATTACTTACTTATATAAATAAAGATTACTTACTTAAAGAGAGACCAGAGTGAAGTAAAAATGAAAAGAAGGCTCTTCCTGGTCCCTCCCTCCTCTCTCAGGCTCAGCTGGTCGGTGCTGGAGGCCATGCATTCATGGTGTGGATCTGTACCATATAAAAGGCCGTATTGTGGCGTTCTTCAGTGAGTGCTGGATTCGCCGCCGGTGACATTCAGATTCGCCACGGTCATTATTTTATTCTACTTTGCTCCTTCACAGCTC